CCGTTGAGAGGTTTGGTCGTTGGGCACCGAACCCACTCACCGGTGACACGCGGCACCCACGGCCGCACGACCCGCTGCCGCTGCCTCTGAAGCAACAGGTGGGTGGCGACGAGGTCTGGCTCGACCCGCAGATGCTGCGGCGCTACACGTATCAGCGGAGTGTCGGGGAACGCCTCATTGCAGCACACAATGACATTAACAACTATTGTGGTGATTATATCGAGTCCAATCCAGACCCGGCGCTCCTTGCGGAGTCGCGGAAAGCCCTGGAATCGTGGCAGCGCGAAGTTGCCCGCAATCCACATCCCGATCTGTTTGTTATCACACGTATGGGTGAACAGTTCCGTGCCAGCACGCTGTTGCCAGTGCCGAAAGTATTTGGTGTTCGTGGTGGAAACGCGGTTGGCAAAACGATGGAGCAGGCGATCGACTTGTGCGCCCTGCACGCGGTAGACACGTTGTGTGCACTTGGTATTCCGCTTTTTGCAAATCCCTCGAAACAGCAAGCGTTTCTGGAACAGCGACGACGCATGGGTCTTGTGACGATGGAGGACATGGCGAAGTTGTCTGCATGCAAAGGACTTGTCGCCATTCTGGCCCCATCTTTTTCCGAATTGGAGTCCAAGTCTCCGCCTACAGAAAAGACGGCACGGCCTCCATATCTTCCTGGATACATGGTTGAAGGCAACCAACCACGCCCCTTGCCACACATTTGCGACACGCTGCAAATTTTACAGCTCCGTATCCCCGAGGACTTTGATGTGTACGGCGAGAACCTGAGTGATGAGGCCGTCCTTGAAGCGGGAAACGAGGCAAAATTGTGTGTGCAGAACTATCTACGGTACCATCTACCTAAGGACAGCAATGTAAATGCATCTATTTACATTACCGGATTTGCCAGGCAGGTGAGTGTACACAACATCGCGTACCTGCCACTTGTGTTACCCCAGAAGGATCGTAACGTCCCTGAAAACACGACAAGTACGAAGAAGAAAAAGAAAAAGAACAACAACGCGACCGCTGATGTACCAGAAGGAATTGAGAAGACGAATAAAGCAGACAACGCGCCCCCCTCTTTTTCCTCTGTTACTGCTTCCACGGCCAATGACGGGGATAATAATAATAATACTGGGAGTATTGATCATGTGGCGGTGGTCACGCAGTCGCAGGCTACCAAGGGGGAGGAAGGGGACACGGCAAGGAAGAATGCTGGGCGTTTACTTGCTGTTGGTATATCCCTCAAGAAGAAGGATGCGGAGAGGATGTGTTATCTTCATGCTGTGGACATACTCCGCAGCTTGGGTCAAGATGTACTTTCCACCTATCGTGCAGGACTTCCACGCCGCAAACAGTCGCCTACAACACCCCAGTCGTCCAGCACGTCAACGCCATCCCAGGCAGAAGATGGGACAAACGCGAATGGTGGTGACAGTAGCATCGCAGCGAATAATGCACAGCCTGACAATATGAAGCCCGCAACACCATCGGCACCGAAGCCATATATGCATAAGCTCATGAAACAATTTATAACCAGTGGTCGGCATTACACGCCTCCAAAAAGACGTTTCCAGCCAGGCCCTAACTCGCCCTTTTGATTGGGTGGTAAGCGCGGGATCTCATCCCACTTTTGAATGCATGTGAAGAAACACAACCCTTCGTGATTGCCTTGTCTTTTTTTCCCTTTTTATTTCCCCACTTTTTTTTTTCCGATTCATTGAGTGGGTGGAAGAAGGAGAGGGAAAAAGAGGAGGAACTGAGGGAAATGACTTTAGAGTGAAGACGAAAAAAAAAAAAAAATGAAGGAAAAATAAATAAAAGAAGAAAACAGAAACAAAAGTTTGAAAGCACAAGAAAGAAAAAAAAAAAAATTTGGATGAATGAATGAATGAAGGAGAGAATGGCTGGTTGTGTCGTTTTTTTTGTTTTTCTCTTCTTATTATTGGGTGAAAGGGGACTATTTAAGTTGCATCCCTGTTGCATGACACATCTATCACAGAAGGACAAAGTGGAGAGAGAAGGAAAGAGAAAAAGAGGAGGAGGAGGAGGAGGAGGGGTGAGAGGATCCTCTGCAGGAAAAGAGGAAAAAAAAAAATAATACGGAAATGCATGGAATAAATGAGACTTCACTTTTTAATGGTTTTTTATGTTGGATTATATTTACTTTTTTTTTTTTTCCCCGCAATCGCTCTTTCTCTCCCTCCCTCCTTCTGTGTCGATGCTTCGTGAACTGGAGGCATACTGCAAGGAGAGGTCTTGTCGTGTGAATAAAACAGCGTAAAGGGGACAATCGCTGTGTGTGTGTTTGTTGGAAAGAAAGGAAAGAAAAGGGCAATTAGAAATATATATAGTCGTATTGAGCACATGGATCTTAAGGCAACCAGCCGCCTTGGATGCACACTCACACGAGGATCTCCTGCCTCCGGGACACGCTATGCTAGTCATTCACGTCCCATAGAACGCACGTCATGTTGGATGGAGCTCGCATGTTTTGGCGGCTTTCCAAAGGTTCCGTCCCTCTCAGGCTCGATGGTGCAGCAGCGCCAGGAACTTTTGGCGTCTACTAAAGGCGCCGGTGAACCTGAAATCATCCTTCGTATTGAGTTTGAATTATTTGATGATGAATCGCCCAAAGCATGTGCGAATTTCCGTCATTTATGTGCGGGGCAGTCCACCAGTCGAAAAGGGCAGACGTACTGTTACCAAGGCCTCACGCCATGTTATCGTGGGACGTACTTTCATAAAATTATACCCGCGTTTTGCGTTCAGGGCGGGGACTTGACAATGCGGGTTAACAAAGGTGCGAATCACTTCTCCAGTTTTGGTCGGGGTTGGTTTAGTGACGAAAACAAACGACGGCGCCTGAATGAGGTGGGTCTTCTTCTTATGGCCAACAATGGACCCAACAGCAACGGCTCGCAATTCTTCATCACCACCTCTGATTCGGAAGAAAAGGCACTCAATGGCCGGCATGTTTGCTTTGGTCGGGTGGTGCGTGGCCTCGATGAGTTCTTGAGGGAAGTGGCACCGTACGGTGAGATCAACGGCAACCCCTCGCGATTTGTAGTTGTCGTTGACTGCGGCGTGGGCCCACTGCCGGAGACACTGGGCATCACCACCAGCAACAGCTGGGCAGAGGAGCAAAAAAGGCACAAGGCCGAGGGCGATAATTCCCATGAAGAAGTGGGGTTTGAAGATGGTGCGGCGACAGTTGCAGGAGCTGCAAACGCTGCCGCATCGGTAGAAGAAGAAGAAGAAGAAAAAGAAAAGGAACTTGAAGAAACTACAAACGCCACGGAAGCCAACAAGCAACCACCGGCTATGAATGGCACAAGTTAAATTTCCAGGGTGAGCCCTAAGGAGAATTGTCAAGAGGCCTGAATGTAAAGTTTATAACAGGATCGATGTAAATGGGAAATATGCCTGAAATCAATGTATAGTGAGCATATTTATTCGCATTGTATTTTGTAATTAAATGTGCGATCAATCTAATTTCCTTTTTTATTATTATTATTATTGTTGTTGTTGTTGTTTTCGTACTGTATTGAAGTGAAGGAAAAGAATTACATGTGATTTTGCCTGTCTGTGTGTGTGGGTGGGTGAGGACGGTGGAAAAGGCCTTTGCATGAAAATGTCCACTCCAATAAACACAGAGAGAAAGAGACACAGAGCCATATATTGACATGTGTATGTGCCTATTCTCTGGTTGTCAATAACACCTACAATTCTCCCTTCTGTGTGAATGCATTTACACTGGGTTTATGTTAGAAACTAGGCGTAGGAAGATATTTTAGTAAAAACTCGTAAAATGGACCTCTCGCTTAAACCAAGGTCCACCTGGGATGATCAAGGCTTGTGGTTTACGCTGGCTCTCAACTCCATCCTACTTGTAGTGCTTTCTGGCCTAAGTATTTTCTGTCTTACCGCACCGTTGCTTTGGCTGCGGCGTCTTTATCGCACCAACCACACCATAACTGTGAGCGTGGGGCCATCGGGATTTCCAGCTGCCACAACACCTCTGACACCCTCCTCCTCCTCCCCCTCTGCGTCTCCCACCCCTCCTCGACAGCGTGTGGGTCGTGTCCTGCCGTACCGTTGCTCACTCTTCTCTCTCCCGAGTTTGCGCGACTGGCTGAGCATCGAGGAGGAAGTGGCAAACCTGGAGAGTGTCGTGCAGCCTTTGTCCACAATCGCTTCTCCTAAAGATGACGAAGATGACACGAAGAGGCAGATTTCAGGGGAAATGGAGATGTCAAAATTCAACAAGAGGGAAAATACTGCAGTGGAGGACACGTTTTTAGTATCGGCAACGAAGGCCAAGGTGCCATTTGACCCCCAAGTGGCACTGTACCTTGCCTTCTTGAAACTATTTGCGACCGTGTTTGTTTTGGGCGGAGTCTTCAATTTCTGGATCTGCGTTCTTTCTGGGACGGATAACTACCTGGAAAAATATATGGTAAGGCGTGACATTCACGGTTGTCAGTCTTTGGGGGATAATGAGACGGCTTGTAACGACAGGGCTCCATTCTGTAAATACGTGGAGACGGATTGCGTTCCAGTCCGCCTTCGCGGTCTCTATGACCTCTCCGCGCAAAACATCTCACCCCACAGTTGGCGTCTTTGGCTTGTGGGGATTTTGGATCTTTTCTTTTCCGTCATATATGTTGTGGCAGTCTTATTTTTCCTATACCGCTTTGATGCATACATCAAATCTGTCATGCACTTGCAGATGGAAAATGCACTTGGACACCGTGTGGCGATTGTTCGGGGCTTAAGTGCCGACATGATGTCAGAAAAGAGATTTCATCAAGGATACCTTGTGGAAGAAGCCTACTTTCGGCCAAGAGGTGGAAAAGGTGGCCGAGTTGGAAATGGAGATTCAGGCAATGATAACAATGGTAACGCGGAGGAAGATGAGTTGGATGTGTATTACCAGTACCATTGTACAGGTTTAAGTTGTCTCTTTTCGATTTGTGGTTTGGGTTACTACAAGACGACCCGTCGAGACGCCATCTTTACAAGGGATTGTAGTGTGCGGCAGCTGCTTTTCCCTCGTGAGCCACCAGAGGGTATGTACGAGAGCATGGAGAGGACAGAGACTGCCATGAAGGAGTTACAGGAGGCCATAGCGGACCAAAAAGCATATTCAAAGAAGCAACGTGAAAGAATGCCCGTGGCGCGTGAGAGAGGGGAGGATGTTGAGGAAACACTCATGATGTGTGCTCCTTTTCCTTCCTGCTGCAGCAAAGTGCCCAAGGTGGAGTATAGGAAAAGGGTTTTTATTGCCGAGGCTAAACGGTTGAATCAATTTATTGATGCAACCCCCGCTAGGGATGCAAAAGGGTCTGCCTTTATTATATTTTCAGATGCACTTGAGGCGTACGAGTTTGTGAATCTGTTCGAGTCGCGTCGTGGTGGTGTATCGGGGGCGCAAGCGACCATCGCCGGACCGCCGGATGGTATCATTCATTTCAACCTCACGACCGATCGGTACACAGGTTGGTTACGAACCGTCGTATTCTTTTTTGTGTATATCTTACTTCTCTTTTTTTGGGCTGTTCCTGTTGGATTTGTCAGCTCCATTGACAACCTTGTGTATATTCCCTATATTGGTAAATTCGTGCTTTGGATTTATATGAATGTGCCAGAAACTCTTCGTGGTGCAGTTACTTCGTTTTTACCAGTTGTCATGCTGGAGCTTTTTAATTTAATACTTCCGTTTATGATTCGGTGCTTTGTCATTGCAATGGGGGTTGTAAACCGGGATTCGCTCCGTGGTGGTGAGTTGTTCCTGCAGTATCTCTTCATGGTACTCACCGGTGTCATATTTCAGGCGGCGCTGCAGGGCGGTCTGTCCCAACTGGCAGATGTACTTAAGGATCCTTCAGGTGAGGCGATTATTGGTTTCTTCCTTGCTATCGTTAGCCCAAACGGCGGTTACTGGTACGCCAAAGTTATCACTGCAGCCTGCATCTCCACGTGGTTGAATCTCGTTGATCCTCTACCGCTTATCCGGGCCTTTTTGCGAAGAAAAGAAGTAAGCGTCCAACGTGTCTACGACAAACTCTTCAAGCCATGTTCGTTTGACTGGCCGCAATTTTACAGTTTTGACCTTACGATACTCGCGATGGGGCTTCTCTTCCGCATGACGGTACCACTGTTGGCCATACTTGTCGGCATCTACTTTTTCGTGCGGTACATGACGCAAAGGTGTCGGCTATATGATCGCTATTGCCCTCGCGTTCATCCGTTGCATGACTGCACGGTAGTCAGTGCCTCAGCCCAGGTGATGCGGGCGGCGAGTTGGTTATACTGCCTTGGTGGCATCGGCGGGGTGCTGGTTATGAGTCTACGTAAACATGTGGGGGGTGTTGTACTCTGTTCCATATCGCTGGCGGTGGGCATTTTGCTCCTCGCGCGGGTCCACTCTGTCTCGCGCCGTTGGGTGAACTCCCTCGCCAATGCACGCCGGTTCCTCAAGCACAGGGCAGTACCCCAGACGCGTTATGGCGCAATGGCCAAAAGGAAGGCGACACAAAACAGGACGCAAAGGACCGACAAGCCCTCCGCCCCGCCACAATCCACGAACGTTCTTTCGGAGGGATGTTCGATGGAGCAGCTTGCCACGGAACTTGTGTCGCAAACGTTTGAGACCGATGGTGATGTTGACAACAGGGCTGTCACGGACAGAAGCGACAGCAGTACAGATGACAATAATGGCGTTGTTGGTGGCGACATAAACGCACGGGAAGGCGCAACGTCGTTTGGCGATCAAGTGCCTATTCCCGCAACTGAGCTGCTGCCGCACAACCCGAATATCATTTCCCGTTACCAACCGAAGCATCAGCGGCTGCTACATATTGACGCGGAGCAGGAGATTCAACGGATGGAGAAGACCGTGTTTCATGTAGAGAGCTACTGGAATTCGTCCTTTGAGCTCATTGACGATGTTGGCATGCCCCTTTAAAAAGGGGGGTTAAAAGGAATGAAATTTCGTCAATAGACCAATGTGTAGCTTCATGAGGAGAACAAAAAGAACAAAAAGAAAAAAGCAAATTTTTATTTATTTATTTATTTTTATTTTTGTTTTTGAAAAAATGAAAATTGAAGTGAGACAATATTATATATATATATATGTCATGAAGTGAGAGGTTGTGAAGAAGAAAAAATGGGAGTTGGTTCCCCCCCCCCCCCCCTTTATATTATGGATTATAAATATTTATTTATTTATTTATTTATTTATATGTATAATGCGTTTTGATTTTGGTTTTGTGTTTTATATATATATTTATATGTATTCTTTAAATGTGTGTCTGCACTCTCCATGCGTATATTTATTTATTTATTTTATTTTATTTCCCCCCGTTATTGTTTCCAACGCGACATACTTTGCCTTTCTCTTTATGTCTTGTGTCATCCATGGGTCTCACGGGGTAGTTAAGGGAAATATTTAGGAAGGATTCAAAGCCGTCAAGGTGGTCTCTTTGTGTGGTGGTGGGAAAGGGGGGGGGGGAAAAAAACGGTAGAAACAGTAAAAGGGGCTTAGAAGAAAAGGAGGCATACGAGAAAAATTACAGCAGTTGAATTGCACCAACACGAGAAAAAACAACAATAAAAAAAAAAAGGAAATTAGATTGATCCATTTCTTTTTTTTTTTTTTTTTTTTACGCCCCCACACATGCCTGTTATTGCGGCAGGTGTGGTAAACAGACAGGGGAATATTATTCTCTCGCGGAACTTCAATGAAGTCTCGCGGATTCGTATTGAAGGTCTTCTCTCTGCATTTCCACGCCTTTTGGAGTCGTCGGTAAACAAGCAGGTGACATACATCGATGCCGGCACAGTACGGTACGTGTACCAGCCGCTGGAAGAGCTCTTCCTCGTCCTTATCACGACGAAGAACAGCAACATCGTTGAGGATCTGGAAACCCTGCATCTCATGGGCCGTCTCATCCCGGAGTTTGTCGACACGGTCACTGAGGCAACACTGGAAGCAAAGGCCTTTCGTGTATTTTTTGCCTTTGATGAGGTTATTGTTGGAGGAAAGCGAGAGAACACAACGGTGGAGCAGATCCGAACGTATCTGGAAATGGACTCCCACGAGGAGTTGATGGTACGGGAGGAGAAAAGACTGCAGATGGAGCGGGCGAAGAAGGATGCGTCACGCAAAGCACATGAGATGCGAGAAAAGCGACGGAAGGGAATGAACCCGTACAGCGGTATCAGCTCGGAGGATCCGGGCTACGGCGGCTTCGGCAACACGAGCGCACCAGTGATAGTCAGTGGCGGTGGGGTTGATTCTGCCGTTTTGACCCATCAGTTTGAGGGCGTGTCGTCTGCCTTTACCACATCCGCAGCAGCGCCAGCACCAAAGCGTGCGGGTGGGTTAACGCTTGGCCGTGCAAAGAAGGCGGATATCACGTCGCGTGTGTTGAAGGAGGCGGGGCTGCCTTCGCCCGCCCCGGCCACCGCCGCTGGTGCTGCCTCGTCCCAACAGCCCTCATCGTTAACCGCAGGAGCAGGGGGAGGTGTGGAGTCGAAGAAGGGGGTTCATGAGGGAACGGTGGAGGGTCTGCACATTTTGGTTGAGGAAAAGATTAGTGCGCATCTGAACCGTGACGGGGAGGGCGGTGCGGTGGATGTTCGCGGTGAATTATCCGTCCTTGTCTCCGACCACAGTTGGGCACCGT